CAGAACACAGCCAAACCCCCAACCAATGAGAACCCCCCCCCACCCAATCAGAACACAGCCAAGCCCCCACCCAATCAAGTCACACCCCCACTAGCAGTTAAAAGGAAGAAGCAGCTGCAAGCTCACATTACTCTGAGAAGCACAGAGCCGAAGACACAAGCTTGAAGATGATGAATGAGACCTCGCTGAAACGTCGCATAACAAATATCAAACCTCTACGGGGAGGGATTAAACAGCCAGATCAAAATGATGATGGCAGATGAGATTCTGCTGAAACGTTGCTACAACTTTAAAAGCACCACTACTATGACGTGGGAAAATACCCGAACAAAGCTGAAGGCCATACATGTAAGTACCCGTGAAAACTTAAGAAAACAAATATACACATACACACACACACACACACACACATACACACACCTATTCAGTAATAATATATCCTTAAGTTATTTTCTCTCTAAAATTCTTTTATACTTATATTGTAAAATCTTCTAAAATATTTCATTTCCATTTTTGTTTATCTAACCACTGATAAAATAAATCCCATTTCTTGTAATATTGCTTCTTGCTTCTTGCTCTATAATTTCAAATGTCAATTTACTCATTTCTGCACATTCCATTATTTTCTTAATAACGTCCTCCTCTATTGGAATTTTCTAATTTTTTCAATTTTTAGCAAATACAATTCTAGCCGCTGTTAATATATTCACAATCAAATACTTCATTTCTCTACTGTATATATCTGGTATAATGCCTAATAAAAATCTCGTTTTAAGTCTATGTGGTTTTTTGTCATTTTTTCCAACCACGTGTGGATTTTAGTCCAATATCTTTTCACCTGTGCACACATCCATCACATATGATAATATGATCCAGGTATCTGATGACGTTTCCAACATTTCTCCGATTTGTTCTTGAACATTCTTGCTATTTTTGCCAGGGGTAAATGCCACCTATAAAACATTTTATACAAATTTTCTTTATATGCTGCACACAAATACAAATTCCTTGTGTGACCAATTACATTTGGCCAAAAAGAATTCTATTCTATTTTTGCTCCCTTCTTTCAAAAGTGGCTTGGAGAAGTTCTTCCAGATGTTTCTCTCACTCAGGATAAAGATTCAGAAAAAGAAGAGAGATTAGCCAGGAATAAATAAGGAGGGAGCAGTTATTGCTGGTTAATGGATATTTTATCATTTGTCATATAACTTGATTTACAAATATTTAATGGAAAACCCGTCTCATTCCACTATTTTTTAAATAATCAGATGAAATACAAAAATGCCCAAAACTCAGAATTAATGTTCCCAGTCCCTAGATAATTCAAAGATTTTTGTGCCTCATTAGATGCTCTCTACAATTCAGATTGGGCCTCAGTAGGATAATGTAGCATTTGGGGAAAAAGATACAAGCCAAGAGAGCAGCTGCAGAAGCCAAAATGGAGAAGATCTCCACTGCCACCATGGACTTCCCTTTGGTGCTCAGGTAGGTAGGGAGGAAGGAGATCCAAACACTGCAAAAGACCAGCATGCTGAAAGTAATGAACTTGGCTTCGTTAAAACTGTCGGGTAATTTCCTAGCCAGAAAGGCCACTGTGAAACTGATGAGGGCCAAGAAACCCAAGTAGGTGAGGACAGTGTAAAACATGGAAGCTGAGCCTTCATTGCATTCCAAGATGGCCTCTCCTACCAAGGAGTGGAAGTCCACATTGGGAAATGGAGGAGAGGTTGCCAGCCAAATAGAACAAAGAACTGCTTGTATCAGGGGACAGGCTAAGACAATGGCATTACTAAGTGGTTTTCCTAAGAGTTTCCTTGTCTTGTTCCCTGGCCTGGTGGCCATAAAGGCCAGAACCACCATGACAGTCTTTGCCAACACAGAGGAAACTGCAAGGGAAAAGAGAATGGCAAAGGCAGATTGTCGGAAGAGACAGGTGAGCTTCCTGGGTTGACCAATGAAGAGGAAGGAGCAGAGGAAGCAGAGCAGGAGGGAGAGCAGGAGGATGTAGGTGAGATCTCGGTTGTTGGCCTTGACAATTGGTGTGTCATGATGTTTGCGGAAAATCACCAGGATTGCAGATGTAATTAGAGAAAGAAAAAGAGCTAGAAAAGCCAAAATGTATCCCAGGGTCTCTTCATAAGTAAGGAAGTAGATCTTCTTGGCAATGCAGTTGTTCTTGTCCTTGTTGGGATATTGGTCTTCTGGGCAGAGGTCACAGTGGGCTGCATCTGAAATCAAGATAAAATGATAAGATTGAAGTTCTTTGCTAAGCGTTTCAGAAGCATCTGCCATTGGCATTCTCCTTCCCTCAGTGGTGACTATTCCCTTGCCGCTGTGTCCAGTCTGCAAATGTGTTATTGGAATGATCCACTGAGTATTTAATGGGGAAATCAAAAATGGAAAACCGGCCTTCATTCATGATGACCCTGGAGAAAGATTAGCCTGACCTGATCAGCTCCACTTGATCTGATCAGTTTGCTTTGGGATGAAACGCTCTCTCCAGTGAATGAGTACTCCTATGCCTACTGTGCCTCTCAGTGTGAGAAAGATTGATAGCTGAATTTTTCAGTTTGTACTGGAACTTCCTCAAGATTGACAGATCTTTAGCTCGAAAGCCTGCTGTTTTGTATTTGTGTATGCTACCTGTTGGCAGATGCTGGAGAGAAAAAAATCATCAAATGGGAGAGATTGAACTTTAGATTAACAGAGTAGGAAGCGACCTTGTAGGTCATCTAGTCCAACCCCTGGTCCAAGCAGGAGACCCGACACCATTTCTGACAAATGGCAGTCCAATCTCTTCTTGAAAGCTTTCAGTGATGAAGCTCCCACAACTTCCGAAGGCAACTTTTGTTCCATTGGTTGACTGTTCTCATTGCCAGGAAATTTCTCCTTATTTCCAGGTTGAATCTCTCCTTGTTAAATTTCCATCCATTGTTCCTTGTCTGGCCTTCAGGTGCCTTGGAAAATAGCTTGACCCAAGTTCTTTATGGAGTTCTTCATTTTGGAAGAAATCTTCCTGGTCTCTACCAGGGTAGAATTCAATTAAACTTCCTTTATTTTTTAGAGCTGCAAAATTTTCATCAATGCAAGTCTACATTAGGAAGATGGGCGTGTTGGTTTGCACAACTGATTTGCTACCTCATGTTCTCTTTTTCTCCTATACTTCCTCATTCCTGTCGGAGCAACTTCTTGTGCAACTTGCCTGTTTGATTAGAAATGGTCGCTTCTGGGCAAGAAACACATCTGTAGCAACAAGTGGGTTTCTCTTCTATAACTTTCTTGGCTTGACCTGGAAGGCAATGCTTCACACAACGGGAGATAGGCTTTGTCTGAAATGACAGTGAGATTAGCTTTGAGATAGAGACATTAGAAATGTTCAGCTTGGCTTCAGGATCTATGTAAAAGGAGCTCGTCTTTTTCCTTCCCCCAAATCCTGGTAAGATGACCTTGTAGGCCATTTATTCCAACCCCTCACCCAAGCAGGAGACCTACACCATTTCTGACAATTGGCAGTCCAGCCTCTTCTCGAAAGTCTCCAGTGATGAAGCTCCCACAACTTCCAAAGGCAACTTGTTGAGGTAATTCCCCGTTAGGAGAATGAGCGCATATAGGGAGACATATAGAGAGTAGTGTTTGAATAATACACACACAGCACACAGATACACTGTAAAGTAAATGTAGGGTTTTAATAAAGGTTAAATAAAGGTTTAAGCAAAGTTCAAAATAAGCAGTCCAAAGTCATTCATAGGTAAGATCAGTCAATTTTCAATCCAGGGATAATCCAGTAACAAAGTCCAGTGTCAAAAACAGTTCAGTATCAGGCTTACATCAAATCCAGGAATTACAGTCAATAGGAGGAACGGCAATATTCTCCAACAGAAGGAAAAAAAGACTCACTCACACTCTCTTCTGAGACTAAGACTAAACAACCCAGGTTTGTGGCTCCATCAGATGGCTGTTTGAGAAATCACACCCAATTACAGTTTTAGGATTCTCTTAAAGAGACAGTATTAAAATGTTTGTCCTGGTTTATATTTTTCCAACCCAAATACCTGTTAGGTGACTTATATTCCTAACACAACTTCTGTTCCATTGGTTGACTGTTCTCATTGCCAGGAAATTTCTCCTTATTTCTAGGTTGAATCTCTCCTTGTTCAGTTTCCATCCATTATTCCTTGTCTGGCCTTCGGGTGCCTTGGAGAATAGCTTGACCCTCCTCCACTCTGTGGCAGCCCCCCAAATATTGGAAGACTACTCTCATGTCTCCCCGGTCCTTCTGTTCACTAGAGTAGCCATGCCATTTTCTGTAAACATTGAGTGTTATATGAGGAAAATACTATTTCCTGATCAAAAGTGATTTAAACATAAATTGATTACAGGAGGGAGAAAGAAAGAAAGTTCCAGATAATAACACAAAGAGGTCTCTGGATCAACTTCTCTGCTTTGTATCTGAAGTTAGAACAAAAAGCAATGAATGGAAACTAATCAATGAGAGAAGCAACTTAGAACTAAGGATACATTTCCTGTTAGAACAATTAACCAGTGGAACAACTTGTCTCCAGAAGTTGTGAATGCTCCAATACTGGAAGTTTTTAAGAAAAGATTGGATAACCATTTGTCTGAAATGTTGTAGGGTTTCCTGCTTGAGTATGGGGTTGGACTAGAAGACCACCAAGGTCCCTTCCAACTCTGCTATTCTATACTTCATATTCACCCATTTTAGAATTTTTGTGCTGGAAAACTTAGCAAGCACAGATAAATGTATCTCCTCTTTCTTTGAAGGGTATATCAATTTCATGGGAGATGGAAAATGTGGACAGAAGAAGCAAACAATAAATAATAGAAATTAAAGCATGAACCACATATCCCATTACTTCAGGAAAATATTGCTGCTGCTGAAGTAGGAGTGAAAAGGCTACTAGGGGACCCATAAGTTGTGCCTTGAACTATCCTATATTAGATATCTGAGGGTAGTCTGTGGGGCAGCACAACTTCAATACAAACACCTGAAAGCTATAGTAAAGAAAATATATATTTAATTATTTGTGCATTAGCTGCAGCTAGAATAGTATTTGCTTAAAACTGGAAAAGTGAAAAGATTCCAATAGAAGAGAATGTGACCAACTGGAAAGAAAAGAGAAGAAGAGATGTAAAAGAAAGAAAGAAACAAAGGAAGAGAAAGAGAAAAAAGAAAAAAAAAGATGCGTTTAAAAACAGACAATATCCTTTTTGACAGTCTGCAAGATCCAATTCTCCTACCTTAATTTGAATACACACATCTTATCGATATCTATGCTTAAATTACCCATTGTCCATTAAGCAGTTTATCTCTGGACTAACCAATTATACCAAGAGTTCCAATTATCGTAAAATGTTGAAGACTCTTTGTTTTTAAGTGCTATAGTTAATTTATCCATTTCTGCACAATCACATATTTTCTGGATGACCATTTGTTCTGTAGGTGCATAGGGTGATTTCCAACACTGGGCAAACGCTAATCTGGCTGCAGTTAGGATATGAATTGTTACATATTTCATCTTTTTGGGTAAATGTTTATCAGAGATCCCTAGTAGGAAGAACTCTGGTTTGTATTCGATTTGTTCTTTGGTTATCTCCTCCAACCATTTTCTGATTTTTTGCCAATATTTCTGGGTTTCTTTGCAAGACCACCACATATGAAAGTAGGTTCCTTCTATGCTTTTACATTTCCAGCATTTTGGACTCGTGCTTGGGTTCATTTTCGCCAACCTCGAAGGGGGCAAGTGCCATCTATAAAACATTTTGTATGTATTTTCTTTATATGCTGCCGATTTTGTAATCTTAATATTTCTGTTCCAAATCTTTTCCCGTTCTGATAATGTAATACTTCTTCCGACATTCCTGCTCCAGGCTATCATGTTCCCTTTGACTATCTCTTGTTCTAATTCTACTTCCAGTAAGTATTTATAGAATTTGGATATGTTCTTTTTGTTTGATCCTAGTAAAATTTTATCTAAATACTGCAGTTTGTTTCCCTTTTGTGTATGTAATGTCGATATGTTTTTAATTGTAAATTTAATAAAATTTATTTATAAAAAAAAAAAAAAAGAAGAGAATGTGACCAGGAAAATATTAGATTGTGCAGAAATGAACAGATTAACACTAGCAATTAAAGAAAAAGAACAAACTGAATATTATATGATATGGGAACTATTTTATCAATGGTTGGAAAATAAAAATGGAAGTTAGAAATTAAATATATGAATATAGAACGGAAGGAGTTAATACAAACACTGATGTGTTCTTCTGAAAAATATCAATAGTTTTAGAAATCCCAATCAGATCAGAAATAACAAATAAATCAATATTTTCATCTGTAGAAAGTTAGCACCCAGCCCTCTCCTAGAAGAATGAAATATTCTAGGAACTATTAAAAAGGCAGAATATTTCCCCTAAAAGAGAAATAGAAATCTTAAGAGACCCAGAAAGTCAGCCCCAGCAGATATTTTGGTGCCAAGACAAAAGACCTTTAGCTCCAGGGTAATAGGATTAGATCCAAACCAGGACAAAGCCATTAAGCCATAAGAGGAATTGCCCAAAGACCCTTCATTACATCACCCAGCAACATTCAACCAAGTCTGGGACACAGACAGCCTACAGAGTTAGCTAAGACCCCTGCCCCCTGGGAGTCTGACACTCAATAGGATAAATGCCCTTGCCACAGGAACAGGAAGCTCTAGGGCAAGGCCCAAGAGATAAATATCTCCATTCCATGTGGTCTGATACCCAGGATCACACATAGCTTGGTGGTTCTGCTTCACCATTAAACCATTCTTCCAAGCAGTCTCCATGTTTCCAGTGTCTTTCTTCCCACTTGGAACTGAACCCAGATGGACATTTCTTCCAACAGATTTATGGCTTCCTTGATCCTGGAATATCTACATTTGAAATCTGCTCAACCTGTCTGATTACAAATGGTCCCTTTTGGACAAGCATCACATTTGTAGCAGCAAACTTGCTTGCCCTGTGGAACTCTTCTCCTCTCTCCTGCCTGGCAACTCTTCATGCCACACCTGGCAAAAGACACCTTCTAAAAGATAAAAAGCAAATGCTTGTGGTGGCTTTAGCAATGAACATGGTTCATTTATTCTTCTCCGCATTCTTGTTTCCATCTTTAGAATGCCTTCAAAGAAAATGCATGGCCATGGTCTACCAGAAACTGTGGGGGATTCAGAAGACAGTGGCACCCCCAAACCCACCAATGGATGCTGGATATCAGAATTGGCACCTTGAGGTACAAAGGAAGGTTTGTGTCATTGAGTAACAGCTTTTCTAAAACAAAAAATCATGAGGATCCAACTGAATGAGGATGGTCTGTGGAAAGAAGTTTTGGAAGTCCTAATTGCCTCCTGTGTTTCCTCTTTTTATTTTTTATTTATTTATTTAAAAGACTTTATTAAACAAATTCTACAATTAAAAAACAATTAAAAACATATTTCCATTCATTGCAGCAGATTTGCAGCAGCGTTCACTCACTTTGACATATTCTTAAGTATATAGAATATATTAAATATTATTGCAATTATTTTACATTTGATTTATGTCATATTTTCATATCTTTACATAGTTATTTATATTTATACATAAGCATACACAGTTATGCCTATTCATACCAAATTATTTCATCACATCATAACCTTTCATTTCATCTCTCTATTTTGTGTCTACCTTGCAGCCAATTATACCATAAATTCCAAATTTCGCAGTACTCTGTCTCTTCTCTCTCCTTCATTTCCATTGAAAGCCTATCTATTTCTGCAAACTCTAAAACCTTTTTCATTACCATAATATCAGAGGGAATGCTGTCACTTTTCCAATTCTGGGCAAAGGCTATTCTTGCTGCAGTTATTATATGTAATATAATATATTGGAGTCTCTTACTTATTTTATCTCTTAATATACCCAATAGGAAAGTCTCTGGTCTCAATTCAATTTTCTGTTTTGTAATTTTCTCTAGCCATTTCCTAATTTTAAACTAATATTTTTTAGCTTGAGGGCATGTCCACCACATATGGAAATAAGTTCCCTGTTTATAATTATATTTCCAACAATTTGCTGATCTATTAGGGAACATCTTAGCCAATGTTGCTGGGGGTAAATGCCAACAGTAAAACATTTTGTATAAATTATCTTTGTATGCCGTTGATAGAGTTAGTTTGTAGTTTATTTCCCATAATTTTTCCCAATCTTCCAAATTAATGCTGTAACCAAAATTTTTTGCTCAAATTATCATGGTCTCTTTTACCACTTCCTCTTCCATTCGGTATCTTAGGAGATAATTATATATTTTGGTAATCATTTTTTCATCTTACCCTTGTAATATTTTATCTAATTCATGCTGATCTTTATATATTCTAAATTCTTCTATATCTTTCTTATATCTTGTATGAATTTGTAAATTAGAGCCACCATAGAAGCAATGGTGTATCCCAATGTCCTTGACTTAAATAAAATAGTGAGCTATAAAGAATTATTGGATGAACAGGGAAAAAACTAATCAAGAACTGAAGGAACAAGGAATAAAAATAGACTGGTGGCCCTATTTACAAGTGCCTCCTGTGTTTCAAGAAACTTTTCCCAATCCTAATCTTTTGTGGGCATGGGAAATTAGTAATCAAATGTGTCACATGTAAAGATGTTTACATTGCCTTATGGAAGTGGTATCTTCATCAAATAGCTGCACTATTTTCTGATTCTGGATGATCTGCATCCCCAGGAGAGTGTGAATATTTCCCTGAGAAGATTCCAGCTCACCTTTATAGGCCACACAATTGCATCTGAATTAATGGTGAAATCCTGGCCAGGAGGAGCCCCAGGATCTATATGCCCAACTTTGACAAAGACAAAAGATTGATTGGGGAACCAAAACCAGTTGAGAAGATCATAATGAGCAGAGTCCAGTCCATCTTCTGAGAAGGAGATAGTTTCTCCAACACTGTTGTTGAACTGGACATTCCTCAAATAGGGAAGAATCTGAAAGGAAACAGATCTTCAGACATTGGAGTACCTGCTGAAAGCCACCCATGAGACATCTGTGATGGCCATCATCTTAGATTACAATCTCTGAGAACCTTGAGGAGTTTCCTTGGTGGAGATCTGAGTAATCAGGAGTAACACCAAATATTTGTCTCCTTCCTTAGTGTTATCCAGTATCCTGGCTTCTTCAACTCTGGGTTCATCACAATCATACCTACATACAAATATTTTAAAGAGAGACTCCAAAATTTGTTGTATGGTTTTGCTCCCATGATATCTGGCTATCTATTTACTTTGGCTCAAAGGACTTGTAAGGTCTTGTAGCAATATCAATAGCATTTAGACTTATATATACTGCTTCACAGTGCTTTATAGCCCTTTCTAAGCGGTTTACAGAGTCAGCATATTGCCTCCAACAATCTGGCTCCTCATTTTACTGACCTCAGAAGGATAGAACGTTGACTCTATATGAAATTGCATAGGGTCTCCTGCTTGAGCAGGGGTTGGACTCGAAGACCTCAGAAGTCCCTTCCAGCTCTATTCTGATTGAGCTGATCTTGAGTTGGTGAGAATCAAACTACTGGCAGTGGGCAGAGTTTGCCTCCAAAAAATCTGGGTCCTCATTTTACCAACCTCAGAAGGATGGAAGGCTGAGTCAATCTTAAGCTGGTCAGAATTGAATGTCAGACAGTATTGCAGACAGAGTCAGTCTGCAATACTGCATTGTAACCACTGCACTGCCATGGCTCAGTAAGTTGCAAATCCATTTTAGGAATGATGAAATAATTTCTGTCACAATAGTGTACTGACTACTGACTTTGTCTAGCTGATAGTCAAAGAGAAAATATATATATAGTAACCAGGGCCTATAAAACCTGTCCTGGTTTGTCCCTTCAGTGTTCAGAGAGGTCCAAAAATGAGTCTTTGATATTGATATCTGATGACAGGAACCTATTAGGACAAGTTGACAAAGTGGTTGACTTAGAAAATTGGGTGGATAACATAGGATGCTAAATCTCCAGGGTGATTTTTCAAAAGGCAACTGGACTTTGTTTTGTTTTGTTTTTTCTTTGAGGAAGATGTCTTGCTTCTCATCCAAGAAGCTTCATCAGTTTTAACTGGATGGCAAGGGGATGGAAGGATTATTAATTAGAACTGATGAAGCTTCTTGGATGAGGAGCAAAATGTCTTCCTCAAGGAATAAACAAAGTCCAGTTGCCTTTTGAAAAAGCACCTTTGAGACAACCATGACCTGGATGACTCTCCATAGACACAGAAATATATACCAAGGTTAAAATTAGGTCTTTTTACAGGTTGGATTCAGCCTACATGCTTAGGGAAAGGTGTCCACCAGGACTGAAAATGAACTTTTGAAGCATCACATCTTGCATACAGGCCCCCAAATTGTCATCTTGCTCTGGGCCAGTATGTCTTCTCTGAAATGGCCAGGCAACCATTGAAGGTGTTTCAGAACTTCATAGATCCTTCCTCTATGAATCTTATGAACATCTGGTTTCGTATACTTTCTCTATGCTTCTCAACAATATATTTGATACTTAATTCATATTACTGTTTTAAATTAGTGTGTCTGAATCTGTTTAGAGATGCATTGATATGGTATAATATAATGATATAATACAATGGACATCTAACATCAAAAACATCATTAAAAAGCACAACAAAGAATGTTCTTTCTGTGCCAGCTCAGAAAGCTCAAACTGCTCAAGGAGCTGCTGATACAGTTCTACAGAGGAATTATTGAGTCTATCATCTGCAGCTCTATAACTGTCTGGTTTGGTTCTGCAACCCAACAGGACAGACACAGACTTCAGACCATAGTTAGGACTGCAGAAAAAACAATTGCTACCAACCTGCTTTCCACTGAGGACTTGTATACTGCATGAGCCAAAAAGAGGGCTGTGAAATATTTACAGATCCCTCACATCCTGGACATAAACTGTTTCAACTCCTTCCCTCAAAATGACACTATAGAGCCCTGCACACCAGAGCAACTAGACACAAGAACAGTTTTTCCCCAAACACCATCACTCTGCTAAACAAATAATTCCCACAACACTGTCCAACTATTTACAAAGTCTGCAGTACTATTACTATTAATCTTCTCATCACTCCTTATCACCCATCCCCTCCTACCTGTGACTGTATGACTATAACTTTGTTGCTTGTATCCTTAAGATCTATATTGACTGTTTCCTAGTATGATTTGATTGTACCCTATGGCTATCATTAAGTATTGTACCTGATGATTCTGGACTTTGATGAATGTATCTTTTCTTTTATGTATACTGAGAGCATTTGCACCAAGACAAATTCCTTCTGTGTCCAATCACATTTGGCCAATAAAGAATTATAATTCTAATTCTATAGATATTTAATAAATGCATTTGGGAAGTTTCTGGTAAAGATCATTTAATCTTGGATGCAGAAAAAAGTCAGATGAGTTTTAGAGTCCTGTTGTGTATGCTCAAGGTTGACAGAGACTGCTTTTATACAATAAGCATGTCAGTGCAAGAAATTGCAAACTAAATACATAGGGTGGGGTCACACATAATTCAGACCAATGGAAGCATAAACCAAGGTTGAAATGAATTGAGTTGAATGTCTTTTTACAAGTAGCTACCTACTGAACAAAACTGAGGTGTTTCTGCAAATATACCCACTAGGACTGTTGAAACACACTGTAGAATTGTCATCTTGCTATGGGATGATACTTCCTGCCTGGAATGGCCTCTCCATGAAACTTTGACTGTCTATCTGAAGACCTTTGATAACCTCTGAAGACCATTTAGGAATGTCTTAGAAGAAGACCTTTTTGGAAAGTCTTTCTTGCATGAATCTTAAGGACATCTGGTTTGATTTATTTCTCTTTTCTTCCTCTACCCATTTTCAACAAAACATTATATTTGTATCTTTAAAAAAATAATAATTGCTGTTTTAATCCCTTGGAGATGTAGTGATAGGATGCCATATAGGTGTTTAATCAATAATTCAAAAGATAGGTGAAGAGAGCTTCCTGTCTAAGTATATGTGGACTACATAAGAAGTCACAGAGATTACCTGCCATGATTGAACATTTAAGATCTTCTTACCAAGCCTCATCATGGCTTGTCTCACTCTGGATCCATATATTGCATGTAATGCATGTGCCACCGCATAAATGGCATTGTAGATATTGTAACTTTCACCTGTCATGCTTCTTTCAAACATTAAAGGTGGTATTTGCTGAAAATTCTCTTTTCCTGTACATGGATGTTTCCCCCTTTGAGGGATCTGGTTTGATCTTGGGATCTTGCACTCAAAGACCGACTCCCACCATAGTGGGAGAAAGAAGTCCCCTTGTGGATTCAAAGGGTCCAAAGATAGGAGGAATTGGCTGAATTCTGATAAATCCCTGGTGTGGTCCCTAAAATGCAAAGCTCCATGGAAGGGTTTCATTACTTTCAGTAAGTCTCGATATCCCTTTACAGTAAGTTTTGAATGGGAAATTAAGATCCAAACATTCTTAAATGTTGTTATTCCTGAGTGCTGGTGAATAGATGCAGCCAACTGTACATAGGCGTTACTACTGGATTCTCCAAACAGAATAACCACTTCTGCTTTAAACCAAGCATTGAAAGAAAAAGGTGATGTGAATGCTCTAGTAACCAAATCATGAAATTTAAAGATTTCCATGAAGGCCAGGCAGATCTCTTTCTCCTTGAGCATTGGCATCAGGGATGAAATGAAATGTTGTCCCCTGTCATCTTCAGAGGCCAAAAGTCCAACCCAGTTCCACTGGAAATACAGGAGCAGCTGGACTAAACCCACATACTGAGGAAATTCCTTGGGATTATTCTGGAAGAAGGAAGGATAAACTCTTCGGTCTGCTTGAGAGAACTCAAAACCAACACCGAGCTGGAGGAAGAGGGATTTTTCAAAGACAAAATAAAGTTATATGATGACTTTCGAACTCCCCATTGTGTGGTTGATTACCCCACCACTCAGGCTGTCCAATTATGAATAGTAAACATAAACTTCTTCCCATCTTAGAAACAGCCCCCAGTTACATATTTTGTTTCATTGTGACACGTCAGAAACCAAGGAATCAAACTATCAACTGATACAGAAAATAAACTGCGTTGAAAAAGTGGCTACAATTTTTGGAGGAAAAGTTAGGAAGAAATTGAAGAAGCTTCTTGGATGAGAAGTAAAATATCTTTGTGCTAGGAAGAAGGTATTCTTGGCAAGTACAACATTCCAGAATTATCTCATCCATCCTTTTGTGGTTATGCAAAAATGTATACTGACACAGGAAATATAAAAATCAATCCAACTATATCATGGATTCTCTATTGTACTTCTGAAGATTCCTCCAAAACCTGTTTGGTTTCTGTGTGTGTTTCTGTTGTTTTTGTACTCCATACTGTATCCAGTGGAGCCCCCTTACCTGTGGGACCTTGAAAATGCTGAAGATGGAGGCCATCTGGATTGAAGATTTGGAATTGTGACCTCCAATGACAGAGAGCAGAGGGTCCTGCTTATCACATTTGTAACCCAGAACCATTTGACCTCGTGTGGATAGAAGGGAGAAGCTGATTAATGAAATATTCCTCTCAATCTGGCAATTGTCATAGATGTGGAAGCCAAGAGTGATATTCGGAAGGAGATTCGAATCCTCGTTGACCTCTTTCACTGAAAACACCAAGGCCAGGAACTGCTGGTAATTCTTGGATTCAACTCTATAGGGAGAAAAACATTGGGGAACACTGCAGGAAAACTTATATATGCTTGTGGAATTTCCCTTGTCTTTTGTTGTGTTCTTTGGAGCAGGAATCCCCAAGTTCCATTGGCTTTGGATTTTTTTAAAGGATATTCCTTGATTAAAATTTGTTGGCTTTTTAGAAAGAATAAAATCCTGTCTGTCCCTCTCATGGACCATTTATATCACTCTATTGTTCCTCCCTTCTTTGTTTTGCTCCAGTGGCTATAATCTTTCCCAATTATGCCTCTACATCCTATTCATTTTGGTTCTCTCTTGGAGAAGATAAAGGGATAGAATTAAGATCACATGAAGTGTTAATTCCACTTTATAATACCTTGGTAAGACCACACTTGGAATATTGCATCCAGTTTTGGCCACCATGATATAAGATGTTGAGACTCTAGAAAGAACGCAAAGAAGATTAGGGGACTGAAGAAGGCTAAAACCTACAAAGAACAGTTGCTGGAATTGGGTATGTCTAGTTTAATGAAAAGAAGGACTAGGGGAGACATGATAGTAGTGTTCCAATATTTGTAGGGCTGCCACAAAGTAGAAGGGGTCAACCTATTCTCCAAAGCACCTCAAGGCAGGACAACCTAGAGTTCCAAAGCACAATAGCACTGAAAAATCTCTGGATCAACTTTTCTGTACCTGAAGGCAGAACAAGAAATAATGGTTGGAAGCTAATCAAGGAGAGAACCAACCTAGAACTAAGGGAAATTTTTCAGACAGTGAGAGCAATTAATCAGTGGAATAACTTGCCTCCAGAGTTTGTGGGTAATCCAACACGAGAGGTTTTTAAGAAGAGATTGGACAACCAATGAAATGTTATAGGATTTCCTGCTTGAGCAGGAGGTTTGATTAGAAGACCTCCAAGGTCCCTTCCAATCATGTTTGTATGTTATTTTGTTATGCTTCTTCAGATCTGGTAATCATTTCTGTGCACAAGACTCCAGTAAGGGTCACAACATAGATTTATTGATGGTATTAATGAGCATTGCTGATACCAAAACTGAATCTTGTAGAGGAGGGTTATTGTACTCTCACTTGAAAAGGATTGTGCTTTTATCTGAGTTTTCCATCATGTTTCTGTCCATATTTATATTAAAAGTCAACTCCATCAGGTCCACAGTGTGTAAGGTATCCCCCTTAACTTTTTATTTTGGGTATCACCTTCCAGATGATAAGTTCTTGAAATATGGAGAATTCTAGGCTATTGTCAGCTTGGAAGCTATTATTCTTGGAGGCTTCTGGGCTGCCACATTCAGTGCCTGGGAATTTTGGAGGGGGACTTCAAGGAGCAGTGGAAAATTAGCCACAACAACATTCCTTTCTTAGAGAGTCAAGGATATGTTGCTCTGCACCTGGAGGGGAGTGCCTGGGGATAATCTCCAGTTGGAATGAAGTAATGATTGGACCATGTGATGGACTATTGGGTGCAGGGGATGGATTTTGGTTTCTCTTTGGGCTGAGGAAAGACCAGAAATCTCAGATTCGGGTTTTCCTCAGTTGTGCCAATATGACATCTCTGATGGATCTTTGAGAAGATGACAGTCTCAGAGTCTTTTAATTTGGAGGTTGTTACTTGGAATGTGGACAGCTATTTTATGAGTACAGCTATTTATTGAGAAAAGCACTATACTAAGACATTGCAAATATCATCAGAAAAAAATGTTTCCAAAATAAGTCCTTAAATTCAAAACAAAGCAAATAATAATGTACATCAATCTATTCCAATGAAACTTACGCTGTTAGGAAGGAATGCCGGGATGGGTCTATTTGAAAGTTTAGGACACTGAGGGAAAAAAAGGTTTGCAGGTGCAAATCTCCACCAATAATGAGATCACCATGATTGTAATAGTCCCATTTTCCCTGTAAAGAGGCAGTCAACACACATGTGGTTGGCCTCCTCTTAGCAGCAGTTGGAGCCAGGAGCCAGAGGAGCAGCAACAGGTGAAGCAGGCCAGCCATTCTTGTCATTCACCACAATTTTAAAAAGATGTTAAGACTCTGGAAACAGTACAGAGAAGAGCAACAAAAATGATTAGGGGACCTGGAGTCTAAAACAAATGAAGAATGGTTACAGGGATTGGATATGTCTACTCTAATGAGTTGTGGTGGCACAGTGGATAGAATGCAGTACTGCAGGCTAATTCTGCTGACTACTGACTGACAGCAGTTCGATTCTCAATTGCTGAAGGTTGACTCATCCTTCCATCATCGGTAAAATGAGGACTCAGATTGTTGGGGGCAATATGCTGAATCTGTAAACCACTTAGAGAGGGTTGTAAAGCACAGTGAAGCAGTATATTAACAGATTAATAGATTAACAGAGTTGGAAAGGACTTGTAGGTCATCTAGTCCAACCTCCGACCCAAGCAGAAGACTCTGCACCATTTCTGATGAATAGTAGTCCGGTCTCTTCTTGAAAGCTTCCAGTGATGAAGCTCCCACAACTTCTTCTTTTTTTTTGAAAATTTTATTTGGGTTTTCACAAAAACAAAATACAAATAAAACATCTTTTTTGAAAATAGCATGGTCCCAGGTTATCACTTCTTCATACAGACACAAAACTCAATTTCATGCTCATTTTTATATTCTGTTCCATATCTTATTACCATTTTATATTTTCTACATAGTTTTTCCCCTCTTCTAATTTTCTCAACTTTGTTTTGATTATCTCAAATCATTATATTTATACTTTTGTCTGTCCTGTTACAATTTCACATTATCTTTTCTTATTAAACAAAATTTTCCCTGTAGTTACCAAAAAGAGTATGACACCTTTATATCCTTTAATTTTATCCTTTCAAGCTCTTATTTAGGCTTCAATGTATAGCTTTAAGATTATAGCATTCAATATAATACATAACTTCCAATCAAATTCTGCTTGGTACATTCTTAAAATAGACACTATATTCTTAAAAAGAAAAAATTATATATGTATGTAAATAAAACACATTCCATTCCAATTCAATTCTATCATTAATATGCATTAAAATCTTAACATCTTTAACATTTCTTTTCAATTGAATATCATACTTCCTTGGGAACACTTATAAACTTTCCATAGTTAATTCTTCCCCTCCCCCCCATATTTCTCACTTATATTTTTATAAATCATTACTAATAATTAAAAATGTTCCCTTTTAATTCTCTCAATCATTTTAATTCATTTATTTATTAACAAACATCCCACTGCATTACAATAAATATTTTATCCATCATCATATTTTCTAAAGTTATTTCTATTTGTAATATAACAAAGCTACCTTATGTACCTTTGCAGAATCCCTTTTACAATTAAATTTTCACCCATTATCTCTAAACAAACTTATGGTTACAATCCTTATATCTTTTCCCTGTTTCTCCATTTCTTGTTTCTGTCTTTTACAATTTCTTTTCCTTGCCTTCTTCCCCCTCTTCTTCTCCCTCCCCTTTTTACCCCCTCGTCTCTCTACTTCTAACTCTCTCATCTGTAAGCCCCTCTTCTGTTGCTTTCTAATATTATACTTATCTTTCAAATTGTTCTTCTTTTTGGTTGTTTTTCCTAATCTTAAACCTTTCACTCTCTTTCCCCCCTTTTCTTTTTTCCCCCAACTTAAAATTATTTGATCATTAAAGATGGCTTCTTCTTTGTCCCAATCTTCTTGTTCTGCAAGCGTTTCTTGTTGCTTCTCATAGTTCCAGATCTCCATTTCTAAGAATTGAAACACGAAGCCAAAAGAACTCCCTTCTTGTGCATCTTCTTTCCATTTTTTAAGTTCCGTTTTCAGTTCTTCTAAGAGTGATACCATTTTAAAAACTTTTAAACCACCACCCAGTTAATTTTAGTCATCTAGATGCAAAAACCAAAAATCACCAAGTAATCCAGATAATCCAAGGCTGTTTCTACTTGCTCCTTTTTTCCACTTTCTCTTCCCGGGGTTCTATTATTTTGTTACCAAGTTTCCATTAAAATGTATCTTTGAGGAATCTTGTTAAAATTTCACTGTAAGTTCCTTTTAATTACAGCTCCATTCCTTAATTCAATTCCTCCTCCATTTTTCCAGATCCTGCCCTTCTATTCTTTTTTTTCTCCTTTCCAGCTTTTAAAAACTTTTAAATGTCCAGAAATCTTTATTTATCCCTTTGACTTTTATTTTCAGCTTAGATGCCTATTAATGTCAAAGTGGATTTTTTTTTCAGTTTCTTGCTTAAGTCTCTTAGCTTTCAGTATAAGGAAAGGAAGAAAAAAAAACTAATCCTTTCCCTTCTCTCTCTCCTTCACAGCTTCAAAATCTTCTTTGGAAACAATGTTGTTAATTTTAAATTCCAGGGTACCTTATTTGTTGCTTTTGCTGTTTGACCCGGTCAACCAAAACTTTCTCTTCTTATCTTCCTCCTGCACATTCTTTTCCAGTCGAGTTCTTCTTTGTGGTGGCCATTTCTGACCACCACTACAACCGCCTTCGGGAAAGGGAGTAATGGCCAGCTGGGGAGGAGACATGTGGCTCTCCTCAACCCTGCAGGCAGTCTCCCCCCTCTTCACCACCTCTACGGGGTGGCTTAGCCCTGAAACCAGCCAGCTTGGGGTGCTCCAGCTACGAGCATGGATCGAAGCCTTGGAGAGATGAGGTTTCGGTCTGTCGCTGAAGAAGCTCAAACTGGAAGTCCTGAAGCTCCCACAACTTCTGAAGGCAAGCTGTTCTATTGGTTGATTGTTTGTCAGAATTTTTTTTCCTTATTTCTAAGTTGAATCTCTCCTTGTTCAGTTTCCATCCATTATTCCTTCTCTGGCTTTCCGACAAGGAGAATAATCTGACCCCCTCCTCTCTGTGACAGCCTCTCAAATACTAGAACACTGCTATCATGTCTCCCCTGGTCCTTCTCTTCACTAAACTAGCCATGCTTAGTTCCTGAATGGAGACTGAACAAGGAGAAATCACTGTTCCAATATTTGAGAGGCTCCTACAAAGACAAAAAGGTAAAACTATTTTCCAAAGCACCAAAAAAGGCAAAATGAGAAATAATGGATGGAAGCTAATCAAGACGAGAAGCAACCTAGAATCAAGGAGAAAATCAGAGCGAAATCAACCAATGGAACAGCCGTGCCTTCAAAAGTCGTGGGTGCTCCATCACTGGAGGCTTTCAAAAAGAAACTGGACAGCCATTTGCCTGAAATCATATACAGTCTCCTGCTCAAGCAGTGGGTTGAATTAAAAGACCTCAAAGTTATGTTCCAGCTCTGTTATTTTTATGTTATGTGTCTTCTTCCCTCCTAGATCAAAAATCAAGTGCAGAAGCTCAATTGTAGGTAGCACTTGAAATTCCATCATCCCCCATAGAAAAATGTTGTGCGACCTGGATGGCCCTAGCCCAAATTGATATCAACCATGATTCTTCTTATCTGTGTCTGGTCTGTGACCAAATCCAGCTGAGTCTTACCAAAACCAGGAGCTGTTCTTTTCAAGAAAAGGTTGGAGACGTGTCCTGCCTCCACTGGGAGACATCAGAACATATTTTTAAAGCAGGTTTTATCTTTGAAGATTTGTGAGTGTAGAAATCCACAGGGGATTCATTGTGAATTACTGTCCTTCTGATAATTGCAATCAAAAAGTATTTCCCTATCCATTTAGCAATAGATTTTGTTTGCAAGCCAGAAGGGGAAAAACTTGTTTGTGTCTTTTGTTGTTAATCCATAGAGCAGATGCACTTGAGTGCCTTTAGACCATTTGATCAAAGAAGGGGACATCTTTCTCCTGAATTGGTGGGAAATACTCTTTGACTGCCATATCCCCAAACCAGGCAAGGTCCCTCCAAAAGGGCAAATACAATGTACAGGAAAGGAGAATTTACAGGATCTTCCAGATTTTATTTTTGAAATGAATATGACAGGTGAAAGTTACAATATCTACAATGCCATTTATGTTGTGGCACATGCATTGCATGCAATTTATGGATCAGGAGCATGACCAGCCATGCTGAAACTTGGAAAGAGGTTCTCAAATGTCCAGCCATGGCAGGTAATCTCTGTGATATTATATTCAATCCACAGATCAATATTGAGGATGTTTCTTATATGTATATCTTAAATTACTGATGAACTATCTCTATACTAACATATCACTGCATCTCAGAACAGATTAAAACAGGAATTATTTTTTTAAAAAATGGATTAATTATAATGTTATTTGAAAAAGGGTGCAAAATAGATGTGATGACCTGGGGTGTGGCACAAAGACAACACAGTCAGATAATCAGTAGGAGTCCCTTCATCAGCTCCAACTTTGCTCCCAATGTCCTGGTTACCTTCTGGCTGGAGAAAAACTCTCCTAGGAACAGCCTTTGGCTGCAGAGAATCAAGTCCAAAGCATGGGCAACAAAAACTGTAACTATAAGTCCAATCAAGGCAAAAATGAGGTCATCAGTCCAAGAGGGCAGAAGCAAGAATTCCAGATGTGAAGGCATGGCAATAACTCAACATGGTTGGGAAGATGCCAGGAACATTGATAAGCAAAGTCAACACAAGATAAATGTTTGCATCCAGCAGCTGCCACACTCAGCATGCATTTCTTTTAAACTCTCTTCCCAGCTGTGACTAATGAAGGAATCAGGGCCTTTCCTCCCCCGTAAGCCACACAACCCACATTGCTGTCTTCTCCGTTCCTCCCTGCGTGCTCTAGGACAGTGGTCCCCAACCTTTTTTGTACCAGGGACTGGTTTCAAGCAGAAAATTTTTGCAAGGACCGGGGGGGGG